CCCTAATTTAATAATCCCCAATGTAGAAAAGTTCTGATTTCAAAGGACCGGTACTTGAGGGATTCCTGGGACAAGTAGGACCGGAGCCCAGAGTGTGGCTCACCTCTGGTATCCTCCCTGGGCACCAGACTTTGCCCCCAAATCCCGGGTTGGTTTGGACAAGTTTATTCTTTCTCGGTGTCTCTGTTTCTTCATCTGAAAGGGTTTGGTTGAAGCTCAGATTTTTTAAAGGTACACAGCTAATAAAATCTTCAAAGAAAGCCTTATACCAGGAACCCGTTTATGAAATAAGCAGGGTTGCATTGGCTAAAGCAAGGAGGTTCCCAGAGCCCCCAAGACCTGGCCCTCCTTTCCAGTCTTGGCGGCCCTGAGGCTCCTCTGCAGAGCCCGTAGGGGTCCTGTATCAAGAGCCCCAGGGTAAGGGCTGCCAGCTGTCCTTCCGGCGCTGACATTAGCTCTTCCCATCCCTGCTGACGTTCACTTAGAAGAACACATGATGGTAGAAGCAGGAACAACTGAGGTTAGACAACAGAGGCATGTCCTGATGCTCACAGGAGGGACTGTGTATGTTCTTACCTGATGGCAAACTCTTTCTGGAGACTGCAGGAGGAGGTATGGCTTTCCCATGTCTATCTCCCTAGTGTTCAACCCACTGTCTGATACACAGAAGGGCCTCAGTAAATGCTTGCTGAATAGAATAAATGAACGAGTCATTGAAGGAAGGACGATAAGGTTAAGAAAGTAACGAAAGCGACAGCCTTGCTTCAGAATTTAGGCACAGTTCTGTGCTGTCTGGAGGAACGTGAACTACATGGCCCAGAGTTATCTCAGGCCTTCCCTCCCGCTCACAAACACATAGGGGAATGTGCAGCAGCCTGTGTTCTTCCCATAGGAGGCCTGACCTAAGAAAAGAGCCAGAAGGAAGGAAGGAGGGAGGGAGGGAGGGAGAGAGGGAGGGTGGGAGAGAGAAGGTGGCAGAGAGACCTAGACAGCAAATCCGAGGAGGAGGAGGGTGGTGGAAAAGGGGAGGGAGGAAACTTCTAGGAAGTCACAGCAGGGGCAGACTGGGCATGGTGATGGGCCCCTTGGGGGAAGGGCCAGGGTCTTCCCTGCCATCCAGAAATTCTTTTGTCCCAACTACCTGTTCTTACTCAACAATCCTCCTTGCACACACACGGCCCAGAACAACCCCGAAAAAACAAGACAGGGACCAAAATATCCTCCTGCCTGCTGGAAAGAGATAGAGGAAAATTCTAAAACCTCATCTACTTCCCCAAGCCTTGACACCACCTACCCCTTGCTGGGCTCCTGAGGGATGGGCAGGGATGACTTCAGCCTCTTTGGGTGGCCCTTCCTGGCCTGGGGACGGGGGTGGCAACTAGTCCCATTTGGAGAGTGCAGGGGAGAAAGTGCAGGGCTGTTCAGCAGGGTGTCCCCAGGGGTGCTTCCATTTCAGCTCTCCCTCTTCCCCACTCACCCTGCCCACAGTGGGGAGGCTGCACCCCTTTCTTTGTCTTCTGAGATCCCAGTGGGGGCCAGTGGAGAAACCCACAACAGGGGCTTTGGAAGGACAGAAGTAGGACCAAGAGATAGAGGGGCAGTGGAGGTGAGGACCAGGACCTGGGGGTCTTTCTACTTGCTGTGACATTATCTTGCCCCCAGAGTGACATGTAAAATAGAAGCTTTGCCCTGGGCACCCTTGAGGGTGCCTAAACCTGGCACCTGTGGGATTTGGTACTGACATTGGCCCTGCTGGTTGTACAGAGCAGATTTTGTAATTTCACCTACTCCCTCCCTGCCCACCCCCCACTCCATTGGCCTGGTGCTGCCTGCTTGCCTTGTTGATAAAATACCTGTGCTAGACTCTCCCCATAAATCAGCTAATGATGTTCTCATAACCTTCCTAGGAGGGGGGAATTCCTACACTGATTTTACAGAGGGGAAAGCCAAGGCTTAGCTGCTGGAGGCAGGGTAAATCTTAGAGGGTCTCATGGCTACAGAGCATGAGGGGACCCTGGTGTGGGAAGGTCATCTAGTAGGGCATCCTGGAACACTGAAAGTCAGGGAATTTTGGCTCAGAGTAAATTCTGGACAACTTGGCTCCTCTTACTCTGCCTATACCTCCCACACTGTCTTCCCCTCTTTCTCTTCTCACCTCCACCACAAACCTCCCTTCCTCTCAGTCCTGGTATCTGCCCCGAATCGGGGAACTGGGACTTAAAAGGTTTCAGGAAAGATCCAGCTCTGTGGTCTCCATCTCAGCTTATCTCTCCCAATTTGGAATGGACTTACCGGCTGTTGAAGCAGGAAAGGACGATAGACATCACTTGACAGATGGGTTAGTTGAGGCCAGGAGAGAAAAAGTGACCTGCTAGAGGCTACACAGCCAGTGAGTGACAGATTAGGACCCAGAAGCAAGCTTCCAGCTCTTCTGACTCTCAGTCAAGTGCTCTTTTCACCACACCAAATGGTGCTGCTGCCCAGGAGAACTCGGTACCAACCCTCCCTACCCCATCCTACTCTAACCAGAGGACTCCGAGGAGGCAGTGTGCTTTTCCCAGGGCGGCTCTCTGGAATGGGCCTGGCCTTGGCTAGTTCTATTCTCAAATAGGCCAGTCTAATCCCCTAGGAGGCCTGGCCTGGGGACAGGCAGGGGTGGAAGGAGGGAGGAGAGAAGGGTATGTTTGGACGTATTTTGCCCAGAACTGAGAGACAACCAAATTACCTACAGGTATTATGCAAATGCATCTACTATGTGCCAGCAACCCATGTGGAGAACTGGGTGTGTGTGTGTGTGTGTGTGTGTGTGTGTGTGTGTGGTGTGTGTGTGTGGTGGGTGAGGGTGGGGGGACTCAGGTGCCCTCCAGTGCGGAAGATGCTGCTTAGGAGGTAGAGAAGGCAACCCCAATCACTTACCGCCTGTCCCAAGATGTGCCGCCTGGGGTCTTGTCAGCTTCTCCTGACAGCTAGATAAACGGCAGTTGGGAAGCCGAGTGGACATTGAGAGGGGAAGCCTTGAGCCCCAAATGGCTTAAGCCAGGAAAGAGCTGAGAGGCAGTGGCTGGTTGCAAAGGCAGGCATGTCTGGGTGGTCGGGGAGTGGGCAGAATGTCAGGTGCTGTTGGTATTTTAGCTAAGTCAGTAGGGGAAGTGGAGGGTAAGAGGAGGAAGGAGCGTTTACACTTCCTAATTTCCCCAACTAGCCTCTAGGGAAAGCTTGCACTGTTGCTGTCTGAGGCACAGATTCATTGCTCCCCCTGAAGGCAGACATGGAAGTTATCTTTCTGCGAACTGGGCCTCCTCCTCCCCCTCAGAAGACTCACTGCCCTTACTTTCCTCTTCCCAGTCACTCAGGTATGAGCCCCACCTTGCCCCCCCACTGTGATTTGGCACAGACCCCCAGCAGAAGCAGTCTGCTCACCCTCCTGTGGGCAGAACCCCTTTCTTTGTCTTCTGAGATCCCAGGAGAGGGCAGCTCCCCAGAGGCCAGGTCTTAGCTAGGTGGCACTGGGGTCCCCAAGCCTGGCTCTCTGTCCTCCCAAGACCCTTTCCCAATGCCCACAATGAGGATTTCTCAGGTTGGAATCTCTGCAAGGCATCTGTCTTTGCAAGGGTCTATCAGGGCTGGTCATTGGTCAATACCAGTGGGCTGCCTAAACTGAGACTGGCAGCAGGCAGCCAAGAGAGGGGTCTGGGCATGGTGGAGAGAGCCATGAGCCTGGGTTTCTTACTCTGGTCCTGTTAAGATTTGCCCTGTGACCTTTCGGAAGTCCCTTCCCTCCCCAAGTCTGCTTCTTTATAACATGAGGGCATGAGATACTTTATGACTGAGGGCTGAGCTGTGAAGAAGGAGAAGGAAGAAAGAAAGAGTGCAGAGCTGGTGACACTAACAGAAGTGATCTTGGAAAGCTGGGTCACTTCCCTGGGCCTCAGCATCCTCATCTGCAAAATGGAAATTGCTAATAGACTAAAAGGCAGTTCTGAAAGATGGATGAGAAAGGAATGTAATGACTCAGGATAGCGCCTGCAAAGTAACGTGCGCTTATAATATGCAGGGATTGGTTTCATGGATAGAGCAGGGTTGTAGGATTGGAGGAGGGTGCCAGGGCTACCAAATCACCACCCCAGGGAGGTCAGAGAGGGGACATTCTGGACCCTGCAGGGGAGATGCTGTGCTGGGAGGGGGAGGGGGCGCTAGAAGCCAGACCTGGGCTCCTGGGCATCCCCCATTTTTCGGGGAGACGTGGACACAGGGAGGCTGGCCCCTGTCCAGTCCCGAGGCGGGGTCCAGACCCTTCGGGGAGCTCACATTTTTCCAGCTTTTCTCACCCGGTATCACTTCCTTTGTTTAGAGGAGGGGGTGGGGGAGGAGACGGAGAACGAGGAGGGGGGGGCCCGCGGGTGCCGCCGCCGCCCCCGCCCCCTCCCGGTGTTCGGAGCCCGATTGTCACTCGGCTCCCGCGCCGGGGGCGACGGAGGCGCCGGCACCCGAGTCGAGTCCCACCCTGGACCTCCTTACAGGCCGGCCTCGGATTCTCCAGGCGTCCCCGCAGCGAGCGGCTGCTGGAGGCGTCGAGGCGTGGGGGCACTTGGGTAGCACAGCTCAGTGGCCAGGCGCTCTGCCAGCTTTGGTGACCTTGGGTAAGTCTGAGCCTCGGCTCCCGGCTGGGGCTCCCCGGTGGGGCGCAAGAGAGGGTTGAAAGAAGCTCCCGGAATGCCCCCTTGGGGCAGGCGATGGGCAAGGGTCCCTGACAGAGCTGGAGCTGGGCCAGGGGACTGCTCAGAGCCGGGCACCAGCAACGTTTCAAGTGGGTGGGCGCAGGGCAGGTGTGCGCGCACGCTGAGGAGTGGGGAGACCGCGCCCCGGCCTGGATCTGGGCTCAGCCTCCGCGCCCCCCCGCGTGCCACTCCCGTCCCAGGTGCGAATCAGGGGCGCTACCTCTTTAAAAGCGTCCGGGGCTGAGCCTCTGCCGCACCATGTGATTGCTTGAAAGGCCGGGCTGGGAGCGCTGCGGCGGGAGCCGAGGACTATGAGCGGCGCGCGGTGCCCGGAGCCCAGCCCAGCCCTGCCCTGCGCGGTGCCCAGACCTCGGCGCGGCACCAGGTGCTGGGAACTTTGGGCACTGCCTCTGGGACCCCCTGCCGGCCAGCGGGCAGGATGGTGAGCTCCCTGCAGCCTGTTCTGTGGGCAGGGGTGGGCAGAGCCAGGCATGGGGGACCCCCGTGTGGTGTGTGTGTGCTGGAAGCTGCCTCACACCTGATAAAAAAAGCCAGTGGAGGAGCCAGCGCTGCTATTTTAAGTTGCTGAATGGAACCTCTGGGGATGTCAAGGGGAGGGGACAAAGATTAGCAGAGAGAGGGCCTGCCGCCCCACCGGCCTGGGCAGATGCTGCATGTGCCAAGTGGGGCACATCTCCACAGGCAGCTGGAGCTCCAGGCCGCCTGGGCTCCCCGCCCCCTCCCAAGCGGGCCTCCCCACCCCAGGCTTCCCTGACCACAGGTGCCCGCCTCGTGCCCCTTGGTGCCTGTCTGCTGATGTGTCCAGTCTGTGCCCGCCATGCCGCCCTCCGTCTCGGCCTTCCAGGCCGCCTACATCGGCATCGAGGTGCTCATCGCCCTGGTCTCCGTGCCCGGGAACGTGCTGGTGATCTGGGCGGTGAAGGTGAACCAGGCTCTGCGGGATGCCACCTTCTGCTTCATCGTGTCACTGGCGGTGGCTGATGTGGCGGTGGGCGCCCTGGTCATCCCCCTGGCCATCCTCATCAACATTGGGCCACAGACCTACTTCCACACCTGCCTCATGGTGGCCTGTCCAGTCCTCATCCTCACCCAGAGCTCCATCCTGGCCCTGCTGGCCATCGCCGTGGACCGCTACCTCCGTGTGAAGATCCCACTCCGGTGAGTCCACAGCCACTGAAAGTACTTGCAGTAGCCTACGCTGGCTGGCTGGCTGGCTTGAGGGTTGTCTAGACAGGATGGAAAGGTAGCCCGTAAGACCTCAGGTGAGCCTGGTGTTCTCTGGGCCACTGGGCCCAGAGTCCTTCCTGTGTCCTGTGCTCTGCTTTGTCGTGCCGGTGAGCAGGAGGGGCCTCGGTGACCGGAGGAAGGTGAACCTGGCTGTGCCCAGGACCCCAGGGCTGAAGCCACTTCAGCCAGGAAACCCAAGGCTGCCTGTTGGGCCTGGGCAGAGGTGGGGGATATGGAGGGACCACCAAGACAGGGTCGCAGTGGGCGCTGGATGTGAATGAGCTGAGCTCCACCAGTCCCAGGGAAGAGGAAGGGGCAGAGCCAGGGCGAGGGTGGCACACCAGGGCCGGGAGCGTGCTTCTCTACCCAGATGCAGGCAGGCTTTCTGAATGTACTCTTAACTTTCTTGTTCTCCGTGTATCTCTACACCAGCCAGCTGCCCCCTCCGGGGCTGTCCTGCTGAACCCAGCAGTCTGATTACCTCTGCCCAACTCCCACTTAAGGAATCTCTGTGACAGGCAGAGGAGGGAAAACGCTGGTGCCTGCTCTTAATGTTCCCGTTCTGCTGCAAAACTGTGTTTGTCTTTGCTGGTCACAGCAGAGGTGCTGGTGCTGCTACCAGGCAGTGCTGGGCTGGTAGTCTGTCCCCAGTGTGGGTGTCTGGTCTACACTGGGGCTCTCTTCCTGGACCTACCAGGCCATAATCTCGTCACCAGGCAGTGCCTGGGCCACCAAGTGCCAGTGAGAGCCTGGGCATACTGCCAGGGACCAGCTCTGCTGGGACACTGCTGTGAGGCATGCTTGCCCCCTCTTTCAGTTCTTGTCACCAGTAGATTCCTTTTCTCCCAGGGAGCTCTGGCCAGCCCGGGCACCTGCCAGCCCCAGCGTAGCTTCCGTGTCTGGGATGTGGGGCCTCCGCCTCACTTGGCCCCTTGCCTAGGCAGGCCTGGGCACTCATGTTTTCCCCCTTGTGTTACATTTGTGCGCATTTAACTTTCCAAAGCCTTTCTTCACGCATGATTTTTTCCTGTTGTCTTCGTGATTCCGTAAGGGAGGTGGAGCAGGAGCTGTAAGGGGGAAACTAAGACTCGGAGAAACTAAGACCCTGAAGCTGCTGCCTTCCTTCCTGATTCCCCCATGCCCAGCACCTCGATGCCAGTCTCTCTGCCCTGTCTACCTCCCTCCAACCTCCAGGTTTCCCCAGGAAGGTGAGGCGAAGAAGGGAGCGCAGCCAGAAGCTCAGCCACTGAGGGGCCCTTGTGCTGCCATTAGTCCCAGGTTGTTGCTGGGCTGCACAGATAAAGCAGGTCTCAACCCATTAGAAGGGCTGGTACTCTGAGCCCGACCATTACAACAAAGTGTTGCCGCTTTTGGAAATTCACGCGGACACAGGGAGACTGCTGGAGAAAGTCTGTCTGCTAAGGGGGTGCCAAGGCGAGCCAAAGGCCCCGTCCTGCTATGACAGAGGTCACGGCCGTAGAACATGCCCTACTTGCCCTGTGGAGCTGGAGCTGGTGTCCTGCTGTGACAAAGGTGTGCCCTATTGCCCTGTGGGGCTGGAAGGGCGTCCTGCTGTGACAAAGGTCAGGGCCACAGAACTTGCCCTACTTGCCCAGTGGGGCTGGGCTGGGGATGCCTGCACTGGGGGGAACCACAGGCCCAATCCTCCAGGAGGCAGCTGCTGTAGCTTCAGAGCTGGGGTCTTGAGGAACTGTCCCCTGAGGCAGGGGCTGCATGGGGGCTGCCACAGGTCTGACTCCAAATCCTTGCTAGGACCTTCTAGCTGTGTGGCCTTGGGAGAGTCACCTATTTGCCCTCTTTAAGCTTTAATGTCCTCATCTATAAGAGGATGTTAATAATAGGGCCTACTTCCTAGGGCTATTGGAAGAATAGGATGAACTCATACATACAAAGCACTTAGTGGTAGACCTAACATTTATATGCAAGCCATAAATGGTATGTCTATGTTTGTTGTTTTATTATCATTATTAACAGCATATGGCTACAGTAGGGCTGGATAGGCACTCCTCCCCCTTGCACTTTTATGTGGCAACACACACACACACACACACACACACACACACACACACCCCACATTTCCAAGAAGGTGTCAAAGTGCTGTTGGGTTGTATCTATACATGCTTCTTCTCCTCTGGTGGATTATTGGTGCCCCAAGAGCAGTGACCCTGCCGACGACCACATCTTGTCTGTTTCTGCAAATTCTCCAGAATGCCCAGCTCAGTCTCTGGCGCATCGCAGACACTCAATAGATGCTGACTGAATTGGCATTTCCAGAGCACCCAGTGGAACCTCAAACAGGCCTCCCAGATGTCTAAACCTCTGACTTTCTTGCTGTGGACTCGCTCCTTTCTTGTCCCTTCCACCTCAGGGCCCTGAACACAGCTCCCCACCAGCTCAGCATGACTCCTTCATAGCAGCACACCTGCTGTGCCTGGGAGAGGAGCCTTTCTCCTGAATTAGAGAGAGGCTGCTGGAACCTTGATCCTCACGCAGGGAATTTGTCTGAAGTGTTGGACCCCTTTAGGCCCTTGCCTGTCACTTCCCAGGTCCCCTGTGGGAGGAATAGCATGCTCTGTTCCCCTCTGGACAGCTGGAGTCACTGGGCTGCTGGGTCTGTGAGACCCCTCGCAACCAGAGGTCCCCAGGTGTTTGGTTTGCTGCTCTGACAAGGCAGTCAAAGGTAGATGCAGCCCTGGGCACCAGGGAGTCATACTGACCAAGCATTGGCAAAACATATCTGGGGCACCTGGGTACAGGAGTTACCTCGTCCCTCACCGAGCAAGGCATGGTTTGGTCAGTAAACAACAAATTTTATTTCCTTCCACTTGGCAGAAAGCCAAGAGAGAAAGATTCACATCATATAGTGCGATCCAGTTATACATTTTTTGAAAACCTCAAATTGTTGATTCATCAATAACCCGTGGACATTTACATGTGGTTTGAAGGTTATTTGTATAGCACCTCCACATGCTTGGTAGCTGATACCCTAATTCTGCTTAGCTTAGCTCCTTGATCTAGGAAATGTCTCTCATTTGTCCCCTTACTTCCTTGCCCAGGGTTTTCTTGGTGGCATTCTGTGGCAATTCGGTGCCTACTCCAGGAAGCTAGTTGTAGGAAGGAGTGCTAACAAGGGCTCCCTGACCAAAACCCTCTCTGTGGGAAGAAAACTCTGGCAGGGGGGCGGGGGTGGCAGTCCATAACCAGATGGGTTAGAGTGCAGGGAAGAGGCGGATGTTTGGGAGTCAGGCAGACCTGAGTTTGAACCTTACTCTGTTACTAACTAGCTGTGCAACCTTGGACAAGTTATTCAACCTCTCTGAGCTTTTCCTACCACTTTCTGTTAAAAAAATGTAGGAATTGGATTTGAGCTCTCTAAGGTGTCTTTTGACTCCCTCTGTGGTTCTTCCTTATCCTGACTCCTACCAAATACTGTGTTGGGAGGGTTTTGTTGTATGGGTTGTTTTTGTTTGTTTTGTTTTTTGCTTCTAGTGAGTGTGTGCTAGGTGCATGCTTTGTTGTTTGTATACTTTATCTCATCTAATGTTCATAGCCTCTCACTAGTAAAGGTTATTGTTATCCCTGTTCTGTAGACAGTATCTTTACATAAACTGAGATCTGAGGCTTGGGAAGTTTCAGTAACTTGCCGAAACAGCTTGTTAGGAGCAGAGGCAGAACTTGAATCTAGGCCTGCCAAAAGATCCTTTAACCAGTAAGCCCATGTATGTCTTGCATCAGCCCAAGAAACTGTAGGATTTATGGAGGAGTTTCCACAAAGCTGTCAGTGGGGTGATTTTTCTCCTCTGATCTTTGCCAATAGCCTCTGCACTCTGCTCAGCCCACACTCAGCATCCCCTTCCCTCCCCACCTTCACTCCAGTGGGCAGTTGTGCCCCTGGCAGCCCTGCCTCTGTCCACAGCTGGAAGCCTGCCCGACCGGGCTGCTGATCCAGAGAAGCACAGCAAGCAATGGGGGAGGCCTGGCATGCTGGGCTAGAGCTTGGGCGGAGAAAGAAATCTGGTAGATGAAGGCATGTTAACCTTTAAGCATCCCCATCCCCATCCCAGCCAGTCTGGAGGTTTCTTGACAACTCAAGTGCCTTGTGTGCTGTGTCGTGCCCCAGCAGGTGACCATCTATGGCCCCTGGGTCCCAGAACATGTGCTCTCAGATCATGCCATCTGCTTTCAGGAGAGGTAGGTTGTCTCCAGATCCTCTGTCTAAGGATGGATTAGTCATAGGCCTAGAGTGTCTGAGAGGGAAGAAGAGTCAGAGGAAACCTTGAAGCCCTGTGTCTCACGCTTACGAACTGACAAGGAAACTGAGTCCAGGGAGGGGGCTACTTGCACAAGATCATTCAGATGGGAGTTCTTTCCTCCTCCTAGTCCCACTGACTTAAAGGCTGGAGCAGAAGAGTTTGTAGTGATCTCCTGCTCCTCAAGGAACAGAAAAAAAAATAAAGCCACCTCCATGGGTTAAGTCAACAAATCAGTGGCAGGCTCAGAGAGGAATGTGACAGGGGGCAAGTTGCTTTGAGGGTGGAAAGGTAATTTCTCTGAATTAGGGGTAGCCTTCGGGTGGGTTATGCCAAGGAGCGTGTCATGCTGGGGGAGCTGAATTTGTTTCAAGTGTGAAGACCTTCCCCAGCTGGCCTTGGGATGGTTTCTGGAAGTGTCTGAGTGCTTGAGAAGCAACCTGCCAGCGCTGTTCGGAAGCAGGGGGATGGCCATGATGCCTCTGAGAACCCCTTCTGCCCTGGTGTCATGGGGTGGAGCTGCAGGGGCCGCACCCTGGCATGTGATGCTTATTTCTGAACATAATAGCAATCCATGTTGATTGTGAAAAACATAAGAAAGGATAAAGATGACAAAATCACCGGTAATTCTACCACCTACAGACAACTACTGTTAACATT